AGTCTACATAAGTGTCCTGCCACTGTCATGTACATTACTGTACCATATCGTGTTTAAGACAAACTGTACAACGAAGAGGACAGTTTTCATGAATGAAATGTTCATTTTCTACATAATTTTGAAATTTCATATTATTTTGCTTTATGTATACTTTATGAAACCGTGATTCGGTTAGAGTGAAAATATGCTTAATCGAAATTAACGCAACGTAAATAAATATATGAAGTCATACATTTTATGAACATAAAAATACAAGGTAAACGCACGTTTAAATTCAAATGAAAACACTAAGTAATTTTGACATTCGCTTGAGGGGACGGTTTCAGATTTTAAGTGTTCCTGAAACGATTATGATGGAAAGAACTGAGTGTTGAAACTAGTTTAACTGTTATTTGATTACTACAATCTTTAAACTGCAGCCATGCAGAGAAATATTACTATCAAGACCACGATCATCCAGCATGTCGTCAAACACTTATACCATCAGCTTGTCAAAATCAGCTTTGATCACGCAAACTGTCAGAAAGTTCGCTTCTGTCAGAACGCCAGAAACATCATTTTGATGAGGTCGTAATGTATTAAAGTCACGGATAACAGGTGGAGCTTTACTTCTAAGTACGTATAACCATGGATAAATTAAACACGTTCAAGATCACAGTGACTGTTTGGTTCTATACTCCCGTACTGAATGATAACATTTGAAACCAAAGTTCACTAGTATTTCTATACTGCGCATGTACGTACTCTCACATGCACTTGCATTCAGCAATCTATTTCTATGATACATCAAGTGTAATGAGATATTTAATGGATTTATATGGATCGTTCCCGGCGCAGGCTTAGAAAATGGAGATTGGACCTACATGCACAGTACAAATCTATTTTTACACAACTATTCACGAAGATTGACATCTCGCTTCCTGTTGGTCTTTAAATAGCTATGTTCATCCCCGATGTAGTCGCGCAGTCGCTACGTTATTTATCGTTGATGTTATCTTCTTCCGCCACCACATTGTGGACGTGTTGGGGAAGGCATGTATGCTACGGTAATGGGAGGTGATCTGTAGGTGATGGCATCGATGTAGAACAATCCTGTTCATCTCGCTGTTACCGTTCAGTGTCGTTAATGATTTTGGAAGATGCCCTAATGGGAGGATATTGGGTTAGGTGGATGAAAATGACAGACCAGCATGGACGTTACACATGCCAGAATAACATTAATGATGCAGAGATGGGTTGGTCTTTGGTTTGAGTCCTAGCTATATCTTGATTACCAGTGAAGATCCGGGATTGAATTGATCTTAAGCAACCCGTGCTTGTTGTAAGAGACGAATAACAGGGTCAGGTTTTCAGACCCGGTTCACATATGTCATGCGTAGATCGATGATCATGCTGCTGATCACTGGCTTATCTGGTCCAGATTTGATTATTTAGATATCGTCGTCATATAGCTCGAATTTCATTTTTTCGAATATTTTTATTCATCTTTTTTTTAGGTACCAAAACATGACATCAAATAACAGCAAAATATAAACCCATTTATAAAGATTTTGGCATTGGACCAGTTGAATGCAATCGGACCAGAATCCAACAAATTTGGTAAAATTACAAGAAGAGATGGCATGCGTTCTCTCGATATTGTAAACTTTACTTATTTCCTTTCTGATCAAATCGAAAGCTGGCGTACATGTATAGATTCGTACTTTAAAAACAGTATTTTTGACAACTGTTATCAGGAGATTAAGGACATTTTCTTCAGAAAATCCAAACATGATTTTCTTCTTATTGATATTCAATGTGCTTTCTTGTTCTTATCCGAGTGAAAACTTGATCCCACTTATATCTGTTTCAAATTCATTTTCCCATTTCATTTTACAGCTATACATATCGGAGTACTTCTCAGATAGAAATATGTAGATATCTAATGCAAACATGTTCTTGTTCGATACATGTGCTTTGATGTCCGCAATTTTATGACGTAAGATATATGTGTTTCAAATTCATTTTCCCATTTCATTTTACAGCTATACATATCGGAGTACTTCGCAGATAGAAATATGTAGATATCTAATGCAAACATGTTCTTATTCGATACATGTGCTTTTATGTCCGCAATTTTATGACGTAAGATATATGTGTTTCAAATTCATTTTCCCATTTCATTTTACAGCTATACATATTGGAGTACTTCTCAGATAGAAATATGTAGATATCTAATGCAAACATGTTCTTGTTCGAAACATGTGCTTTGATGTCCGCAATTTTATGACGTAAGATACATACATTGTGATTCATTGTTAATGATATACTGAGACTCCTACCCATACTCATCATCGTGTATTGGACATGCATTGGCATAATTACTTAATATTCTTTATATTTCTGATATAGATAAATCTACTTTCACTCCAAACAGATTGCTTCCAATCCAGTCCAGATTGTTAATGGTAACTCGGTTTCAAGCATGTTACGAGACATCTGTAGATTCATCATAGAGGCTAACTCCATAAACTGACTCGTAAACACAAATCTAATTAATGAGTACCTATTCTTGTCACGTTGTGATCACTGTATCTCACTTGTTCATGAATCTGTTTAATATCATCCCGCGGAAAGATGCCAGAATTGATTTCCCCTACATAGCAGAAAATGTTATTTACAGTTAACAATTCGCTTTCATCAGGGTACATGAACTTGCAAGATGCCATTTCACGCCCAGTTGTTCTCAGACAGCGTAGGCGGTGTACATACTTCTGCAATCACGTTATACGTATCAAAGGCTATTGTTGCCGAGGATTCGGAACTATTATCAGAGGACGTTTGAGCGTTTTAAATTGCTTTCTTGTTCCCTGAATACAATGATCGCTGTTGTTACAGACACCTTCTGTGATTTCAAAGCATTAACTATCCGTGTCCGAGATTATATTGGACTGATTGTGCTAGATTGTGTTGATGGTCATAAAATGAGAGGATAATTCATTTACAGAATCCGCCATTGTTATCCCGCACCATTCTCATGTATGTATTCATTCAAGGCAAACAACGTACATAGCGTCCCGCATGTGTAAAAAGCTCAGAAAAAGTAAATTATGAATTATGTTATAATTTACAAAATGTGCTCATCCATACCAACCTCTTTTAGACCTTGTCATACATAGTGAAAAAACAACTACTTACCGAACCCTTAAAACGGCACCACTGTATCGCATTGTAAGCATGAAAGTAAGCATGCATTCATGCCATGACAATACTGTTTTCGGTATGATAACACTAAATCTTCTCCAGACATCAATCAAATAACAGTTAAATCGGTAACGTCCATTTTGTATCATTAGTTTCTCCATCGACATTAAGTATTTGGCAACTGGTATGTTCGCCATTGGATTGGCGCGAACTGCTATATATCGAATAGTAACGTACCCACATGTTTGTTCAATATTTGTTTTACTAAGTGACCAGCTCGAAGCTATTATGAACATGTGTATGGGGACATGTGGATCTGATCACCTCGCCGGAAGGGGTAATTAGATTGAGTTCAGGAGCATATACAATGTAGGGTCCATTGTGTTACCTGAGATGTACATCACAGAGACCTTGAGCAAAGTCTGACTGGCATGTCCAATTTGTACATGAAGAACAAATACTCTAAGAAAAAATAGATAGTTAAAAATGTACGCGTGTTGTCAACGAAATATGTTTACACGGAGGATCGATGTGTGCTTATCAGTTGTATGTAATATCGACAATATAATTAGGTTGTGTTTTATTAATAACTATCATGATATAAGACCATATCCTAAATGATTATCAATGCGGCCAAATAACATCATTATGTGCTCACAAGGGTAATATTTGACAAAGGCATATTTGATAGTCTATTATATTAGATGCTGCCTCATGATCACGCTGCAGTGGACAAGTTAAGAGAACATGTTTCAGTCACACGGTTTGCCTGACAAGATTATGTCAACAGTTTGATATTAAGCCATGTGTCATACTTGTTTCAGTGTTTTGTTTTGAGACTCAAAAATGATAGAAGTATTTTTTGGCAAAAATAGAAAACAAGCGTAGAGAAATGAATCTGTGGAATGCACTTGTAAGATCTTGAACTCTTTGGGTTTACCTTTGTAGTGTAAATGTTTACAGGAGTATACCTTGGTGCTTACTATGCTTCCGAAGATGACACATGTAAGAAATACAATGGATCTTGGTATTTTCATCAAATTAGTATGAGCCACAATATATAGCGCTGCCATTATGAAACGACACACAGTATTGTCAGTGTGATGAAGAAAGGTGGACTTGAAACAAGGTGCCAATATATGATTGCTACATGTGAGGTGAGGTGAGGTGAAATTGGGTTTTACGTCGTGCTTGAGAATATTTCGCTCATATGACGACGTGCATGCGTGTGTATGTGTATGTGCGGCTGCTTGTACTAGCCCAGACTGAAGCTGGATTTATAGTGCTAGCGCACTGAGATACCATGCCGCAGTGAAGCATGAATACCCCACTCAGACACATTATACTGACTCCGAGCCGACCAGTCCTTGTTGTACCCATTAATGCCGAGCGCCAGGCAGGTACCAACAAGTACCATATTTTAACGTCTTTTGGAATGACGCGGTCGGGGATCGAACCCGCGACCTTCCGCTCTCCGGGAGGGCGCTCTAACCACTACACCACGGAGGCGGTCTTGCTACATGTGAGGTTATGACAGCAAAGATTTCCTTCTCGTGCATTATTTAAATTACGTCATGTACATTTATACATGCGTTTTGGGTGACGTTACTTCCCCATTTTTTTATTATTTTTATTACATACCTTGTCAATATCCGCATGATACCGTATAAGCGGTTGGTCATATGAGTACAAGGGCACGCAGGTTGTGTGTCTTCTTGTTTCGAACTCCCTGTCATGTAGAAAGTCTCCGGAGAACAATGATGTACGGTACCGCTTACTGGAAGATTGATGCTATACATCAATGCCTTTCTCCACAGGCCATTTCATTACAGCGCCTCACCAGGGACATCCGTATCAACTGGCGTAGAAAGACGGCCTATCGCGACATCATCGACGGTAATTGACACTTGGAAGCCAGATTTGGCGAAATGGGACTATATATAGCACAGACAGAGACAGGTTTTAACCTGGCGTAAACTCTGTTGTGAGAATAAATGTAAGGTAATGTTGAGGTGACCTTAGCGTGTTCTAAATGGCGTTCTCAGGCTGTTTTGGTACGCATAAAGACACTGTCACTGTCTTGGGAAGAACTTTTAATGGGTACAACAAGGACTGGTCGGCTCGGAGTCAGTATAATGTGTCTGAGTGGGGTATTTCTGCTTCACTGCGGCATGGTATCTCAGTGGGCTAGCACTATAAAACCAGCTTCAGTCTGGGCTAGTACAAGCAGCCGCACATACACATACACACGCATGCACGTCGTCAAATGAGCGAAATATTCTCAAGCACGACGTTAAACCCAATTTCACCTCACCTCAAGTATGCTTAACACACGACAGCTTCATGGTTGAGTGACATATCGCGTATAACTTCAGTTTCGTTGACCTTAATAATTCTATATGACATTAATACTGAAACTTCCATAGGTAACACCTTTATTGTCCGGATCTATCAAGTCAACGTCTTATCAATTCTTCATGGCAACACTGAGTAAGCTTCTTGGATTAAATATATCTACACTTTCAGATGTTTATACAATTAAGAACCTATGTACAAGGTCAACAATACAACGAGGAAGCCAAAAGCATAAAAATTGTTCTCGTCACGATTTGGCTGAAATATTGCCGAAGTGACGATAAATTTTAACTCACTCACTCGAGTCTGCTTCAAACAGAGATTTCTGAAGGAATTATGTTAATGTTATCCTGTTTGGCCTGTCCGAGGGACAATGCATCATTACATCTGACAGTTGCCCTGACTTACAGTAACTGACTTCATTGACTTGACCTTACTGTCCAGATTTTCTAAATACAAGGTGATAATAAGTAATAATACAAATAATTGCTTTACCACATATGATTACAAGAATTTCGATTCCTATAGAAATCTAAGACAGTCCGGTAATAAGGGAACCAAAACATCACGCGTTGCATCCCTGAGGAGAATCGAACTTGTGTCAATGCTATATGTTTATTCCAAAATCACTGATTGACTCGGGTTCTACATTTCTACCCGAAACGATCTTAGCGCTGCTTTAAACGTAGCTACGTAAACATAGACTTAGAATCCTGCATGGTACCGTGCGTCTTTAGAGACATCGTTATCTGAAGCATTTGAAGTATTTGAAGTATTTACCGCGCAATTTGTGAGCAATTTGTGTATGGACGAAGCATTCGGAACTACCAAATAACCGAAAAGCAAGATTTATGGATGTCACCTTCATTACTGTGAATAACAGGTGAAGGAGCAAGCATACCATCCGAAACGTCCTGTTATTCACAATAAAGAAGTTGACATCCATATATCTTACTTTTCTTATGCATTCCACTTTTAAATGCCATTCAAAGGTTTTACCAAATATCCACTGATATAAGATCAATAAAACGTTTCTATGACATATGTCCGTAATGAAACAATAACATTTCTAGTAGCATAATCACCTGTCTGAGTACCCCTGAAGATGCATATCGAAGGAGACGACTTATAGGATCGAGTGGTCAGGCTCGCCAACTTGGTTGACACATCTCATTGCGTAGATCGAAGTTCATCACTGAATCTAGACTCGATTATTTACATGCTACCTGCATATAGTTAGAATATTTCTGAATCGGGTGGTATATACAAGAAGCTAACAAAGGTCTGAAAGCAAGTGGAAGAGCAGAATGTGACTTTCTCGTTTGTGATGACATTTAGGCTTTGAAGTGTTCATCAAAATTGGCGCCATTTGTGCTCCCATTACAGTTTCTTTGTGTATGAGTCAGTTCTGCTCGGATTTGCGAATTCAAAACAAAATGGATGAATTATTGAAATTTTGTATGGTATCAATGATATAATATCGTTCAATAATGGTGAAATAGCCAAATTGTTTCCGCTGATTTATCCAACTGAGCTGGAAATAATGACTGAGGCTCTCTCCTGTTTCATGTTTGCATATGTGTCTGAAGCTTCAGCGTGACAAAATATACTCAGAAGATTGTATGACCGGTGGAATGGTTCCAGTAGTCAACGGTTTCCAGAAGCAATAAACCAGCAGCGACTCGCTTGGGTGTCAAACACCTTTGAGGTGCAGTCTAGCTGGCTGTTTCCACGACCTTCTCGTGGAGGGTCATACGATTCCTATAGGTGTTTGGTCAATTTTGCAGCATTCAAGACGTCACGAACACCCTCAAAGAGTTTAATACAGATATGGCTGTGGAGAACATCAATGTTTTAAAATTTGACCCATCAGTGATAAAGATGATGGCACGTGCTTGTGACGGGGCTGGTGGTGTAAGATCCACGATCAACTGGTGCTATCACTATATCTTTCCAGATGCATGCTGATGATATGGTTGAAATGGGTACAGTGGATACTTTTTGAAATGATGTCTTTTCTTGTGAAAAGATGTGAGACAAATATGTGCGATGATGACATATCAAGAACATCTCTTGATGTATATTGTTATTGAGGATCATGTCGGTAAAACCACATTATCAGTGATTCTGCAATGTCTTGTACTTTTGCGAAAATGGCGCACGTCATGTTGCCCGTTGATTTTGGTCAAACTATATAATTTGGCATCTAATCTCACTTGTAAGTAATTGGTATTCGTTGACAAATATTTGAATTTGCTTCTTTTATATCTTTCAGCAAGATTAATTGGTTCTTGCCCATTTCACTCTTTTCCACTCAGATTAACATTGACACTGTTCTGATTAAGATACTGAGCTAGCAACAGCAGCAGCAATAGAACAACAAGCAACAAACAAACAAAAAGCAAAGCTAACCGTTCTAGTGAGTCAACCACACTTTATAAAAATATTTTGATTATTTTTATCATCGGACTATCGTATAATACAGCACAATGAAGGTGGTTTTATCAATTTTGTATTTCCAGTTACTCTTACAAAAACACATTTTTTCCGTGTAAACGTGAAACCAAACAATCCGACTTAAAGAGTATCAATGCTTCTTACTGTTTATAAACGGAAAATCCTGAACGAATGGTGATTTATGATGTATAACATCTCACCGTTTTGCCGTGTCATGATTCAACACGCTTTGATGGAAGTTTGGTGCTCTGAGTTTTAAACTTGTATCAACTGATGATGATATATTTGAGATAAAAACACATGATTCTCTATATATTCTCTATATCCAAATGTGTTAATCGATAACGTATCTAAGTGGCAGGTTGTCCAACAACGTGTTTGTCCTGTATCTGCCTTGAGCATGATGACCGAACGTTCCAGCCCCTCGCACTATCGCGTGCATACCGACCCACACCAAAAACACCACGCACAGACCATAAAAAGAGTGGCAAAACCAAACCCCAGTTAACGCCCTAACATAAAATAAACCCTTGCCCTAAAACCAACTATAACCGTCGATGCCGACACCAATCCTAGACCCTACTAATACAAACCACAATATCCTGAAACAACGAGCCTATATGATGTATTACAAACGACACCCAAGGACCCTTCTGTTGCGAAAACAGTAAAACCATTTGCTGTGCGCCTTGTATTGATGCTGTCGTGAATCTGTTATCGTGGATGCACGTCTGTTGTCAGGTATGGTACGGGATGTAAGGGTTGATTACTAGAACCTATGTCGGAGTTGCGTGGTTTAAATCAATCTCTCCTGACGTGAAGGTCGGCACTGGTGGGCGCCCCATAACAGGGGCTGTGTATAACTTGATTGTTCAACTGAAAACATCGCCATAAGTGCCAACTGGTGTTTCTATGGACGTTTAATGGACGAGCTACGTCATGCTGCGAGGAACCAGACTGAAGCATACCTATAACTCTCCATCTGTCCTTTTCTAGGATACGTGGCATGATGCAGAGTGTACTGAGTAGTGTGGTAGGATGGGTACAGTATTCAAGTCCCGTGGACGTTTTGTGATGAAAGCAAGACATTGTGTTTTTTGTATTCATCAGACATTCTAGTTAAATAAAATGTTTGTTTCCAAGTTGAAATATGGTGCAAATAGTACTTTGAGCACTGTACAAAATGGTTGTGGAAAAGGTTGCTAAAAGGTCAGAAGGTCATAATGGTAGAGTTGAATACTTAAAGTTAGAGGGTATTGACTTTATCCAAGTGTGTTTCTCTATTTCATGAAATATTTTATTAGAAGAAAACCCCAAAATATATTTTTTTTAAATTAACAAAAAATAAAAATAATGAACACTCCCTCGCTCAAACAGACGAATTTAAGCAGATGTAGGTTTTGTGCACTTTGTAAGTATATGATTGCTTCAGTTTATCAAATCAATGTAAATCAGGTTATTAATAAAAGTAAAAGAACAGTTATGTATGAAACTAAAAAGAGATGTTTACTTCTGTTTGGTGAGACTGTCAGTAAGGGAGCAGTCCTTATTTCAAAATGTAGTTGGTCCATATCAGATTAAGATTAATCAATTTCTTATTAATACGTTTAACGTTTTTCGTCTAAAAGCAGAGTTCTTTGAAAATAGATAAGAATAGAATGCCTTGAAATAATTTTGAAGTCATCGGATCGGATCATTCTAACATGGTTTTAATCTTTGAAAAAAAAATGTATACCAATAAATAAGGGAAGAAATCCTTTTTTATCAGCAGCAGAGGAGAAGGCACGGTGTCCATATTTAGCTTGTTTGACTTTGGGGATAACAAGAAGGTGTTGATTCCTTGATCTCAGAGATCTAGATAGTGCATAAGCCTGAAGAAGATCTGAGAGATAGACTGGAGAAATGTTAGCCATGCAATGGTATGCGAGACAGAGGAGTTTGAAGGAGATTCTGTGTTTTACAGGCAGCCAATGAATGTCCTTTAGAGTTGGTGTGATGTGCTGTTTTCCGGAGATCTGGGAGGTAATGCGAGCAGCTGAAGTCTGTATGCATTGGAGTTGGTCAGTGACACAATGTGGAGATCCGGCCAAAA